GTGTTGTCATTGTTATTTAATTGTAGGAACATTCTCATTTCTTCTTTAATTTCCTCTGTGGCCCATTGTTTACTGAGAACGGTGTTGTTCAATTTATATGTGTTTATGAATTTCTTGCTGTTTCTCTATGGTCTGATAATATACAGGGAATAACTTTAATTCCTTTGCACTTACTTAGACATGTTCTAGGAGCAAGTATGTGTTCTGTTTTGGAGAACAGTTTATGTGCAGCTCAAAATAATTTGTACTCTGATTTTGTGGTGTGGAATACCTAGTAAATCTCTCTTAAGATCATCTGCTCAGGAGTTTGATTGAGTTCTATTATTTTGTTGTTTATTTTCTGTCTAGTTGATCTATCTATTTGTGACAGTGGGGTATTGAGTTCCCCTACTACTATTGTATTAGTACTTATTTGATTTTTCACATCTTTTATACATACTTGGCACATATATATTTATCATTGTCATCTTTTTCTCTTTATAACAATGTAGTCTCCTTCTTTGTCTCAATCAGTGTTGATTTGAAATTAATTTGATCTGCAAATAGGATAGCTACTCCTGATTTTTTACAGGTTCCTGTCACATGGAATATTGTTTTCCACCTTTTAACTTTCACTCTATGGTTTTGTTTTTGATTTTTTTTTTTTTTTGGTACTGGGAACTGAACTCAGGACCTTGCACTGTGTGAGTCAGGCATGGTGCCACTGAACTAAATTCCTAAATTCCTGTATTCCTAATTTTTGTAAGCAGCATATTGTTAGATCTTTCTTTTTGACCCATTCTGCCAGTCTATTTCTTTTGATTGGTGAATTGAGATCATGAACATTGATGGTTATAACTGATATGTATCAACTTATCATTGTCATGACCTTTTCTTTTTGTTGGGGTCTCCCCCTTTACATTTAATTTATTATGCCTGATGGATTCATTCTTCCTGGGGTTGTGATCCTCATTTTCTTTTCCTAGGATATTGTTTAAAATTTTTTTGAAGTGCTGGTTTGGTATTCATGAATTTACTCAGGTACTTCTTGTCATGATAATATCTTATTTCTCCTTCAATTTTGAAAGATATTTTTGCAGGGTACAACAATCTTGGTTGGAGGTTGTTTTCCTTTAGGGCTTGAAATACTTCCCTCCAGGCTCTTCTTGCCTTGAGGGCTTGCATCGAGAGGTCTGCTGATCCTGATGTGCTTTCCTTTGTCCGTGATTCATTTCTTTTCTCTAACTGCTTTAGAATTTTGTTCTTCTGATGAGCTTCTGAAATCTTAATTCTTATATGACTAGGTGTTGACTTTTTTATCACAGCTACTTGGTGTCCTATATGCCTTACTTATCTGTATGTCATGTTTGTTCCTTGTTTGGGAAGTTTTCTGCCATTACTTCTGTGAACAGTTTTTTTTTATGTTATTTGCACTCTCCCACATTTCTTCATTGATTCTGATTAGTCTTATGTTATTCTTTGCATCATATAGCACCTGCTGGATTGATTTCTCCTGGGCCCCTTGTATTTTCAAGAAAAATTTCTTTTTCTGGTCACTAATTGCTATCCTGTCTTCTATATCTGATATTCTGTCCTCACATTGACTCATTCTGCTGTGTAAACTTTTAATCTCCTGGATATCATCTGTTTGCATATGTATAATGAATTCCATTTTTTTCCTATGTTGGGATCCCATCATGTTTCTCAGATCATCTATTTTTAAAAAATCTATGTCTGCTCTAGATTTATTAATCATGTATTGCACTATGGACATAATCTCGGTTGTTATCTGAGAAATTATTTCTGATTTTTTTCCAGATCCTCTTTCATTGCCAGTTCAGAGAGTCTGTGTGGTTCAGTATCAGATATTTCCATCTTTTTGTCCATGGGGCTTGCCTTAGGTGATCTTGTAGTCTGGCTTTGAGACTTGTTAACATGTCTCTCATTTGAAAAGATGCAGCCTGCTGCACATTTGCTAGGGTGAGTTTTTGCTCATCCAGTGGTTTCCAATTCTCAGCAAGCCATGGAGGGGGCTTTTCTTTTGCTGCTCACCCCTGAGCCAAATCCTGCATTCAGAATGGTGGCCTTCTCGATCCCTGCACTGTCCTGTTTTCCAGGTGCCATTCTGTCAGAGACATATGCAAACTTGGAATGGAATCTGGCTGGGACCTTCCTGCAACTTTGCTGCTGTGGTCCAAGTGGGCTTCTTACTGGCATTTGTATGCACTTACTGATGATTTGTCAGTTTGATTTTATTCTTTTTTTTTTATTGAGTTTATTGGTACATTTAGGGATACAGTACAGTTACATTCATTGTTGGGATCATGTACCTTTACATGGCAAGTCTTGATTCTCATTTTTTCCCTGATTTTATTCTTAATCACAAAGCAATTTTAAACTTTACAGAAAACCTTCCAAAATACTCACAAAATATTCACTTATATTCTTCTACTACTTTTAACAACTTATATCACTATAATACAATTATCACAAATAGGTCAGTAAATTTGGTGCATTAATATAAATGAAGAAACAACTCTAATGTCACTATGTTTAAATTTAATATCCTTTATCCATTCCAGTATTTTGTCAAAGATCCTACATTCTATTCATGATCATTATTCCTCTAGACTGTTACATTTCCATAGTCCTTCTTTATCTTCTTATGTCAAGGTAGTTCTGAAAATTATGGACTGGTTATAGAAGTCTAATTTGGACTTTTCTGTCTGATGTTTTAATATAATTCTTCAGTTTTGGAAAAGATAATACCATTGTGGTTATAAGTTGTAAGTGAATCATATCATAGGCTCACATATAAAAATTCATAAAAATTTTCATTTAAAAACAATTTTGTGCTTAATATTTTTATTGATATGTATTTTTTATATTTGAGAGGTAGAACTTCAGATTAGATTTTTAGAAGTGAGATATGTATGGTGGTAGGTAAATCCTGTGTTATTTTGTTAGATATTTTCAAATTTCTTTCCAGAAGTATGTGCCAATTTGCATGTTCAGCAGCAATGAAAGTGTGTCCAGTGTAATTTATTCAATCATAACATTTTTGCACTGTGAGAAATATGATCTCATTTTTCACAACAGTAAACTTTATTTTTTCACATTTTACCATCACTTTGTCTTTTTAAAAATTATGTATGCTATTTGACCTTTGTTACTCTGCCTGTTATTTTTTTTGTAGAATTTAATTGAAACACAAACACACTAATGGTGTAAGATGCAATGTTTAATACATGTACATGTTCAATAATGTGTATATAAGTTTAAATATATCCATGATTTCAAACATTTATCATTTTTATGATGAAAAGCTATTTGAAATGTATATTATATTATATTATTGTTAAAGGGTAACTATACTGTGCAAGAGTAACCTAGAACATCTTATTTGTAAGTTTAATTAAGAACACACCAGAAATCTTTTCCTCATCCCCACACATAACTGAGAGACTCAGCCTCCAAAAACCACCACTGTATTCCCAAATTCTAAGAGATCAAATATTTTAAGTTGGATATGATTCAGATCACTTCTCTTTCTGTACCTGGTTTATTTTAATTAATGAAATGATCCCCAGCTCCATCCATATTGTTGTAAATGACAAAATTTCCAACTGTGTCTTTCCAAAACAAAAATGAAAGCAAAATTGAGGTGTACATAGAGTATGTCCTCAAATAACCAGAATTGTATATGCAAATACTGTGTATCTTGATGAACAGTGTGGAAGCTGTTCATTTTTCAATCGGAAGTACAATGCTTTCAAAAAATAAAAAAGGGATAAGACAAAATTTCCATCTTTTTAGTAGATGAATAATATTCCATTATATATCCATATCACATTTTCTTCATCATCATTTGATAGTAACAGGTTCTTTCCATTAGTTATCTGTTGTAATAGTGTTAAAATGAATAGGGAAGTGAAAATAGGATTTTCACACATTGATTTTATTTTTTTGATGTATGCCAAGGATAGTGATTTCCTTCTGGATGGAAGATCAAGAGGATTTATCTATCAAAGTAATTTATTGAGGACATGACATTATATCCACAGATATGTAAATTGTACAAGGTGAGGTAAAACAACCACTGTTTTAATCACTCCAAAAATCCCCTCACAGCAATAGGATATATTTGTAAAAAATTCACCCATAAATATGCCATTTTCATTCATGTCTTGCCAAAAGACAAGAGTATGTCTGTCTCCTGTTCACAATTTGGAACCTATTCCTCTTAATGACAACTCCTAAGATGGAGAAGGTTATACACTCTCACACACTTTAAATAAAAGAAATTTTGTTGAGAAACCAGAGCAAAATTACCTTATTTTTACCTACAATTGGTTAGGGTAGAAATGAGTGGGACATTTTGAAAATAAACTTCTCTAATTGAGATAAAAAAGTCACACAGTGAGTAAATACAATGCATCCATTTCCTTCTAGTGGAAAACAATATCCAAAATACTGAACCTTTTTTATTCCACTAGGAAAAAGCCCTAGTTGTAGACTGTATGGGGTTTTAAGGCCTCTGAGCTATGCTATCACCCCCCACCCCCAGTACACCTCCTGTTTTCTACTCTCCCATCTATCTCAAGAAAACTGCTAAGGAATGAAGTAAAATGCAAATCAATGAAATAAAATCCCAGGGGGGACTATCTATATCTCATGGGCTAGAACATAGTGATCATTACCAGTACCTTCAAATATATTGGGAAATACATTCTTTCAAGTCAGCCAAAATTCAGAAGGAAAATTATCTTCACAGATATTTTTTCAACACACCTTATTCTACAATAATAATGGTGACACTTATTGTGAGATGTAGTTTGAGGTGCACACTATTTTCCATGCACAGATGTATGTAGCATGTGTTCATTGGTGAAGTATATACAGAAGAACTGATTCACCCTGCCTGTGTTAGAGAGCACTCACTGTGCACAAAAAACTTACTTATATTCCTTTATTTAATTATCATAATATTCTTGGAAACTCAGTACTGTCATTCCCACATGATGGAGTCCCTGTTCAAACCCATGCTGATCTACTCCAGAGGTACTGGATTAGAAAAAATATTCTGTACTGTGGTCACAATTTAAAATGTCCTTGAAAGCTTTTATGCAATCTAGTGCCTGCACCTATTTACCAGCAATTCTTATTTCTTGGATGTAGGACTCAGGTATCATTGCACTGATATTATCTCATTTAAACTTCACAGTTAGAAATGAATATATATTTCTTTTTATATTCAGAAAAAATAACCCCAGAGAGCTGGACTCTACTCAAGTCATAGAGGAAGTTTAAGGGGGAAGTGGGGTGTGTAATGATGGCTCTTCACCTTCTCCAGAGAGCTATTTTGGAATCAGAAAAAAAAAATCTGGCCTACATGAAGCAGACCTTGGGCCACAGCCATCCTCAGGAGTCATTCTGCCCAGGTAATATGCATGCATGAAGCACAGGGGGACAGGTGGCACTTGGATGATAATAGGCCATGGCAAGGAATAGGCCAGAAGCCCAGCCTGCTGAAGGGCAGAGGTGTGACTGGAACAGCAAAGGGTTGGATATAAGGATGTACATTTCCCTCAGCACAACAGGCTGTGGATTTCCTGCTCTCCAGATGAGCCCTGCCTAATTACATACTTATTAGAATGCTTGGCCAACCATGTACACTCTTCATATATTGAACAATTGATTGTTCTTCCACTCTAGGAGTGTAGACATTAACTAACTAGTTTTGAAAAGTATCATTGCCTTCCTGTGGACATGTCAATGTCTCTCAGGTCTATACATGTGAAATTGTAGGTACTGTAGGTTTCAATTCTTGTAATTGTATTTAATTCCTTTTATGATTCCATTTCTCTGTAGAAGCAACTGATACTTCTGCATATTATATCTAGATTAATTTTTAATGCATTATATTAGTTTCTGTAAAGAACTATCTTCTAATTACAATACCTGGAACATCAAAATTTTGACTCTAGGTCATGAGTCTCTACTTTGCCACAAGCATCTTAATAGCTAATACATACTATTAAAGTTATATGAACTTCTTAGGAGGCCAAAGCATAATTTTGTATAATTTATTTGTGGGAAAGTACAGGCCAATTCCAACCTTCACTCTGGAGGATGAAGGCTGATCATGCAGCTTCTTTATAAAGGGAAGTCCAGCTCATGCTCTGCCTCAGTCTCAGCTAAACTCAATCTGTCTCTGATCACTTCAACTCCACATCCAGCTCTGCCTGTACATTTTCACTTTCTTCTAAAGTTCACTTTCAAATATCACTCACAGTTTGCACACAGAAAATGAGAGTTTGAAATCATGGCATAAAGAACTGAAAAAATCCAGAAACCATGTACTGTAGATGACAACAGACCAAGGGAACAGTGAGCTTATCAAAGCCACTGGGAGCTAACAGAAGGTGCCGAGAGTGTCCTGGCCCAGAAAGGAGTAACTACACAGTATGAAATTGCATTGAACTAATTTGGGCTTAGGATCAAATGTGATGACTGGGGACTATCTACTTATTGAAACTCTTGGGATTCCTCCAAGCAGATGTGTCAAGGAAACTTAAGAGAAAACTTTTGAGCATAGAATTCCCTAGATTACTATAACCCTACAGAGTGTAAAGTAGAATAAAGACATAGAAATTGTTCTACTGAGACTTTGTTACTGTCTTCCCAGAAGTATCCTGGGAATCCTTTTTAACAGACAACAAAAATACAGGCCTGCAGAGAGATGATTTAAAACATCCATTCCTTAAACTCATGCAGGGTCTTCCCAGGCTTCCTGTTTCCTCCCCTACCATGTGCATCTGGTAAGTGCCCCTATTGTCACAGATGCAGAATTAATAGGCAGGTTCAGTCCTAGAAAGGCTGTGAGAGAAGGCAATTTGGGCCTTAGGGCATTTTGTAGTTTGAGAAGAAACTTCTAGCTCTGACAGTCCTACTCAATCCAGAGGATTGCTTTGTCTATGTACCATGGTAAATTTTCTTCTTTACATAAGTTGTGTAGTTTCATGGCTTATAAAATTAGTTGATATTTTCAAAGAAAATATCAATTAATTTTAATTTTGCATTTGTTAATCTGAATTCAATGATCTTCACTGACTAGCGGTACCCATACTCCTGGTATATGCAGAACATTAGCTAGAGATTTAAAATATTTTTATTCCTATATATAGGAAAATTTATAATTTTACCTTATAGTCTTCTTAAATATACTGTTTTTCTTCTATAATCTTGGTAAATCAAATAGAGTTACTATGGATGCAAATTGCTTCTGCACTTTAGGGAATTTAAAAAGTTGTTTCAGATTCTTTACAAGGATATAGCATTCTAAGTGCAATATCTCATCTCAGTGAGGGTAACCTCACTTTACCGCAAAGCACCCACTAGCAAATTTTCTTACAACACATCTTTTGTCTTTATTTTGTTTCACTAATTAAAAATTAATAATGTTGACTGGTACCATATGTTTTACAAGGTAGGTCATGTCAGATGAGATAAGTGAGATGATAACATTGCAAGTACATTAAGGTTTTTTAAAATGAGAAAATTATATTTATTTCCCTTTCCAGTATCTTAATCACCTAAGAATAAAAGTACTTCGATCTGGGAGGATAGACTATTTGTGAGATAGAATATTTTCTCTATGTATTAATAATTTAAAAAGTATACCTTCACATTTATACAGTAGCAGATGTGCTTGAAACTCATTTTGTTTGGGAAAATACTTAGGGCAGCTGAAGCCCATTATGCTCTGGTCTCTATGTATAGCTTTCAGATTATTCACAAACTATATCTTTTCTTGCAACTTAGATTCACAGACTGTGTCTTTTCATGCACTTAACATGCTAAAAGCTAAAAACATTTCTTGTTACTAAGATACAAAGAACATGTTGAGGGAAAAAATAAAGCCAAAATGTTTTTCAGGAAATTCCCTCTTGACATTTATGTCATTGATGCATTAATCAGAAAATCAGATTCTCCTCCAAGTCTATTTAGGGATTCCAGTCATAACAGGTTAATAGTTAAAAAGAAGAAGAAGAAGCCCCTTTTGGACTTCCTGTTTCTTTTTGCTCAAAGAACATTATGTTTTCTTGATGATTTATTTTGAATATTGGTAATGTAAATATTCTAGCTGTAGGTTTGAAAAATGAGCTGTGCTTACTGACCTTTCAATTTACACACTTTTTAAAATTTTGATTCTCAAAATTATAGCTCTTGTTCATTTTCCCAAATACTTTCCAAGTTTTTCTTGTTCATAATCCTGGAAATCATAATTTTGGTGCACCTGTGCAAACATCACAAACATGCATAGAATTTATTTTTTTCCTTTACTCACAAGCCAGCCAGTTCTCCCTAGCACTCTTCAGAGTTTCCCACCTAAATTTGTGCCACAATGTAGAATGTGCTGCACTATTTCCTGTCAGTCTCAAAGCTACGTGAATGAAGAAAAACTGGTCTCATTTCTCAGATTATCCAGCACTTGATGTTAAAAGCTGCCCATAAATAAAGTTCATACATCTGTTCAGTGTAAAGATCTCATGCTTAAGAAAAGCAAAGCAAAGCAAAGCATCTTTCCTGCCTTCACTCTGAAATCCGTCCATCCACAGGGCCACAAGCACACTATTATTGGGGCCTGTGGAGGCATTTTCTCCTTCCTCTCCATTCTCCACATCCACACAGACCACAAGTTCCTTCTCAATGTCCTGACCATTAATCCCTAGTTTGGAAGCCCATTTGACAATATTCTATATCACAAGTTTTTTCCTTCTTTTGGTAACTACAAGGTGATACAAAGTCATTGAAATTATTTCTTTGCTCCACATAATAAGAATTCTTTTTTTTCCTCATTGAGTTTATTGGTATTTTTAAATATATAGTATAGTTACATTTATCATTTGGATCTTGTACCTTTACATGACATATCTTGATTCTCATTTTTCCCATATCCATACCCTCCCTTAACCCCTTAACCATTCCTATTTACAAAGACTTTGTTTCCATTTTTTTTTGTTTTCTCATATTTTTTCTTTTCCCAATTATCCTTTCCCTTACCCTTCCCACCTCCCCTACAGCTTTAGCCCCTTTCTTCCTATTTCACATCGTCAATTATACAATTTGGATCTTATTTACACTTTTAGTTCTTAACTGTTACCTTTCTCTTGAGAAGACCCCAGCCCTTACTATCACCATAAACAAATGAGTGTTCAGATTTCTTTTTGAGAATTCCTATTGTATGATTTTTATTTGTTTGTTTTCACATTTACTCACTTAACAGTTCCTCTTCTTCTTCAATTTGGTCTTTCTGGATGAGACTTATGTCAGAAATACAGGTTGTTTTACTCGTGCTTCTGAGACTTAAGTGCCTATGAGGACAAACCTTTTCCAATTTGGTAGACTAGTCCATCCAGAAGGGTTTCCTAAATCATTCTGCTGAGACTAGATCTGTTGGCCTGTCTCTCAATCTCTTAAACCAGTAGTGGTGAACATTTTAGAGCTTTCAGTGATATAATCAGCCTGCTGCAACACACATGCCATGTTTCTCTACCAGTGTCCTAGACCATGCTGTCTATGCTTGATAGACATGACTAATAAGGACATTGTAGAGGATTTCCTTGAACTTATCTATATGAAGCCCTGAAATTGTTATATACCTTTCTTTATGGAACTTTCAATCATACTTATATAATTTAAACTGTATGTGTTGATTTGTAGGTTTGATACAGCTGAGTAGGATGCAACATTTGGCTAGTAGGATGACTAGAGGAATAGTTTCTGTGTTCTCTCTAGGCATCTTGGAGGAAGGTAAGTGGAGCCTGCAATTGCATGAAATCATCTCACTTTCCCTGAAATATATTCTGATGAAAGGAAGTTAATTTTTCCTGTTGTTCCTGATCAATTTTATTTTCAGGAAAATAGATTTTCCCATGGTTTAAAAGCAGTGATCCACTGAAGCCATTGCACCTAGTTATTATTGAACACTCATGGCATCTGTACAGTCTGGACTTTTCTAAGACACTTAGGTTTGCAGAATTGCACTTTATAAAGTCATGCTGGAAACTGTAGTGCAGTACCCAGATGTATGCATGATCAAAATGCAGGACTTTGAGAGTTTAATCTGCTATGTATTTGTAAAGCTCACATTTTAAAATGAACAAAACTGAATTAAAGCAAAATCTGTATTTAATGGAAATGACATGAAAAGTAATTTTGGAATAATTTCTAAATATTAATTATTAATTACTAATAGGCATCTATTTTGCAATTATTCTTTTAAAACTATATTAGTGTATGCTTTATCCTACCTGAAATAAATATATAAAAATAGGCATACACCATTACAAGTTCACAGAGGTCACAGAATACTATTTAGGGCTGTGTGTTAGTAATTATGTATGTTGCACAAAGATGGAGATAAATGGAAATTTGACTAATATTTTACTATATTTCTTGTGATATTATTATGGGACAACACAAAACATGTTGAATGGATGAAAAGAAAAAATCATTTTATGTTATCATTACTTTGCAAAAATTGAACGTATCTTCATCTCCTCTCGCACTGACTTCTGTTCATTGACACTAGAATAGGAATACAAGAACATATGTAATATAAAAAAATTCTCAAGGCAGGGAAAATTTGCTTACTTAAACATGGTTTTAGTGCCCATAATACATGGCCAATTAATCATATGAAACTTGATTTTATTCTCATAAAGCTACAGAATTTTTATTTCAGAAAACCTATTTTTCAAATGCTTTAACCACTATTCACTTCAACCTTGATTTTTTTTTGGTGGGATACCAGGGATAGAACTCAGGTCCTTGTGCTTGAGAGGCAGGTGGTGGAACCACTGAGATAAATCCCAGGCCCTCAACCTTGAATTTTTAAATGGTATCCCATCTTTGTTGACCTTTAACATTTTGCTACCCTTTATCTTCTTACATTAGAGCCATGTGATCAAAATAGTTATAAAATAATTAGCCTTACATCTTTGATTTTCACATAATAATTCTTTTAATTATGTTACTGGAAAGATTTTTACAATATTAGGTAACATGTATAATAATTGAATTGAAGTAAAATTGCATATTCTGCAAAAAATGTCCCACCAGCAGATCATTCATCAAATTTTCTTGTATTAATTTTAGGCTTGAGAGTAGGAAGTCTGGAGAAATATCACTGCTTACATGAAGGAGAGATGAAAACTTGGACTCTTACAGAGTCCCTCCTTCAGGATTGCATTGGATACTCAACTTTTATTAAAACCTTATGATGGAATGACCAGAATGTATTTTTACTCGTGGTTCTGTTTATTGCCTTGATTCCAAATGCCTGAAGAGAAAAAAGATTGGAATATGTTGCTAGCAATATTTGACCTCATCTGATATACACTATTTATTCCACCAATAATAAAAAATGTGAGATGTATAGCTACATTAGAGTATTCAAACAAGCATTGTAACATTCCATTAGAATTCTCTGAAGAAGGGTTATTCTAATTTTGTACTAGTCTTGCATTTTTTTTGTCTTCCTTGTTCCAGATAAGGACACAGCTCATCAATTACTGAAAGAACTCCATGAATTCTACTCAGTAACATGTATAAGTAACTGTAAACTAATAAAAATACTGGCCCACCTTTATGAAAACATTATTATATGCCAGGAACACTTTCATGTTTGTTACCAAAACTTAAGTTCCATTCAGGCATAAAATATTCAAGATATAGGTAGTCTGAGTTACTTATTTTGTACATTGACCCTCAGATGATTGACCCTCAGACTCATAGAGTGTTTAAGGTGACACTCAGTGTGAAAGGCAGGACATGAATATAATTTCAAGAAGTATGACTTCAGAGTTCACACTTACCAACCTTTGACCTGTTCACATACTGAGAATATTTGTTCTGGCAAAAAAAAAAAAATCAGAAAAAAAACTGAAACAAAATAATTCTGTGCATGACTAATGTGTGGGAGGATCAATATGAAAACCTTGCAATGATATGCATAATCCAGCCATGACTGGGAAATGTTGAGACAGGAAGAAAGTGGGAATGGCCCTTGAATGTAATGGGGGGGGGAAACTGAGGTTATAAGTGAAATATGGATGCAGCAGGAAGAATCTACTCATGTTGGCAGCAGTGGCAGTTGATTTTTGGTGAAGGAATTTCTATTTTTAATAAAGAATTCTTGCTTTTCTTTTCAGACATTTACTATAAACACCTTTCTATATAAGATGAATATAAACAACAAATTATTCAGTAATATTAACATGAGAATAACCTTTTATTCTCAAGTTGTCATTGGGGTCTCAAGCAATGCCTTCCTTCTTCTCTTCAATATCTTCATGTTCATTCTAGGGCACAGGCCCAGATTCACTCACCTGCCCATTAGCCTCTTGGCCCTAAGCCACATAGTGATTCTGCTAATTGAAGGATTCATAACTGCAGACATTTTTACAACTCAAGCAAGGTTTTGGGATGACATCACATGTAAATCAGTTATCTACTTGTACAGGTTAATGAGGGGACTCTCCATTTGTGTCACTGGCCAGCTGAGTGTCCTTCAGGCTATCACACTCAGTCCCAGGAGCTCTTATTTGGCAAAGTTCAAACATAAAACCTCATGTGACAACTTGTGTTTCCTTTTTTTCCTCTGGGTGTTTTACACATCCATTAGCAGTCATCTTGTAATCTCCATTGCTGCTACCCCAAATTTGACTTCACAAAACATTTTGTATATTACTGAATCCTGCTCTCTTTTATCCATGAATTATTTCCTGCAGCACATACTGTTAGCACTACTGACCTTCAGAGATACAATCTTTATTGGGATAGTGTCCCTTTCAGGTGGATATATAGTGATACTCTTGCGCAGGCATAAGAAGCAATCCCAGCATCTTCACAGCACCAAAATTTCTCTGAAAGCATCCCCAGAACAAAGGGCCATTAGGACCATTCTGCTGCTTATGTGTTTCTTTGTGATCATGACTGTTTTGGACATTATCTCCCACTCAAGAATTGTGCTGAATAATAATCCAATATTTTATTGTATCCAAATTCTTATGGCCCATGGTTATGCCACAGTCAGTCCTTTTGTGTTCATCACTACAGAAAAACGTATCATTAATTTTTTGAGAATCATGTGTGGAAGACAATAAATATGGGGTTATCAGTGATGGATAAGTGTGCTTATAATAAGGCAAGCACTAGATTCAAAATGAGGAAGTATGGCATAGTATGCTTAATCACAGAATGACTAAGACGCTCTTTGGTGTGATTAAAAGATCATATGGAGTTTTTTGCATTATAATTATTTTGATACCTATAGATGGCAAGTCCATTAATGGAAACTAAACCATATGCCTCTCCGAGATATAACAAGGGTTTTATATTTCTTACCGGATTCACAAAGCACACCAATGAAGGGGGGGGGTCTCATTTTTCATGGCCTGGCATAACTTACACTGTTTATCAGCATGTGATACCTTATGTCATTTTTTCAATCATTCAATTGTCTTATTCATATATATTTTGACAAACTAGATATATAAATGTTTATTAGCAAATATAATTATACGATCCAAAATACACCTGTGTGTACACACACACACACACACACACACTCACGCACACACATAAAGAACTTCATGAAGGACTCAGTCCTTAGTGTGCTCATGATACCATGATTTACAAGAGTAAAAGCTAGAAACAGCCAAATGTCTATAACCATAAAATTGTGTAAGTAAAATGTAACTTTTAAGTATACTGGTATATTATTCAGCTTTAATTATGAAAGAACATTCTGCCATATAGTGCAAGATGATCCCTGAAGTCATTCTTTGAAAGAATCTACTTATAAGAAGTGAATTTAAGTGTAGTTCAATTGATGGAGACAAAAGATAGAATGCATTTCCAAAGGGTCAGCAAAGGAGGTATGGGAGTTCTTGTTTGATAGCTACAGTTTCTATTCATGAAGATGAAAAAGTGCTGGAGATAAATGGTAGTCATGGTTGCAACATGATATGAATGCCACTCTACTGTATTCTCAAAAATACTCCAAATGGTTAATGTTTATATTATGCATATTTTGTCATAATAAAAATTTTTTCAATCATCTTTACAAAAGTGTGGAAAATATTATGTTTAATTTTAAAAAAGTAAAGTGACAATTTTTTCCAGTATCACAAGGTAATTTCAAGTTTAAAAATACAGTAAAAATTTCCAAATAATTATTTGAAGATTGATTTCTAAAGTTATAAAAATCTTATTCTCAATTTTTCCAAAGACAAAAAAACTTCATATGGACTCAGATATGTATCACAATGTGCTGCTCAGCTTTTAAAAGAGTTTTAGCATTGCTTTAAGAAGTTCCAATATTATATTTCCTTGATAAATACCTGTGGTCAAAACACAAAATTTATATCCTAGGTATAGTAGACATGGAAAATTACCTATCATTTTTACAAATTATTGCCATGAAAAGTATATACCCATAATATGCTTTTTCACAAATCAAATAGAAATACTGTCTAGTATATTTTACAAAGGTGATAGTGTTATTCAATATTTCAAATGAGTAACTCAGGGAAATATTGTGAAACCAAATACCACTATAACCTAGTAATATCACTTTATATTGTAATTTTGGAGTTTTACTTTTAGTGTGTGACTTAAAGAAATAAATAATGGGAGACAAGCAAGTAATTTTGATACAAATTATGTTATGCACACTTCCTAAATTTTACACTTAACAAAATGCTCAATAAGTTCTATTTTAACAAAATAAGAATAGTTAGCTAGTTGACATGACAGATATTATGCAACTATTTAAATGTCAAGAATGGAGAAAACAATTAGGAAATGTATGAATCACAAAGAGACACTGCAAAATTAAGATATTCAGATGAAATGATTTAGTTTAACATCACATGCCATTGAGACCATAAATTTAAATTTAAATCAGATGCCAACTATTCTCTCATTAGAATGCACTATCACCGATTGTCACTGGGAGTGCCAAATAGACATTTTGGGTAAACAGTGTAGTAGTTTCTTAACCTATAATTGTCATTTGATCTACCAATTATAGTTCAAGGTTAAATGCCAATTATCTGTAAGCAGACACCCCCCAAAATTGTAGGCATATATCTATAGAAACAGTTTTCATAATCACTATAGATTGTAAAGAATAAAGATGAACCCAAAATGTATAACAGATGATGTATAATAGGAAGAAAAGGTCCAAAGGGGAAGGGGAAGGGGAAGTGAGAAGGGTGAGGAAAAGGAAAGAAGGGAAAGGAAAAATACAAGAAAAGGAAAAAAGAGAAAAAAGTCTTTGTAAATTAGGAGGGGTTGGAGGAACTGAAAGGAGGGTAGGGGAATTGGGAAAAATAAGAACCAAGATATACTATCGTGTAAAGGTACAAATCTTCAATGACGAATGCCATCATATTGTATACCTAAAATGTACCAATAAACTTAATGTGTTAAAATAATGAATTAGCAGATATTGTGCTCCTACACAATGAATTACTGTTCAACAAAAGAGAGTAGCCTAGCAATTAGCTGAATAATATGAATGAATCATACTTTCATCTTACTAAATGAAAGAAGGCACACTCCAAAAGCTACACATTTTATTATTCCATTTGTAAAACATTTAAAAAGGGAAACGGAGTACACAATGATAGAGAAGTTTCGAGGGCTAGTACAAGCACAGGTGGGTGAATAAAAAGGGGGTGCACTTGGGAAATTTTTAAGGTGAATAAATTGCTCTGTAGTGTAATACAGAGGTGGCTACATGTCTGTATCTATGTATACATATTTGTGTCTATGTATTTGTCAAAATCCATAGAATTTTAGCTGTATGAAGTGGTACATGCCTATAATATGAGTCCTCTGGGAGGCTGACACAGAAGGACCACAAGTTGGAGCCAGTATAGGCAACTTCACCACTTGGTGAGATCCTCAAAATAAAACACACACACACACACACACACACACACACACACACAAACTGGGAGTATATCTCAACATGACAATCCTAGGGTCAATCCTCAGAATGTGTGGTGCTGATTTGTTGAATTTCTTCAGTTTTTCTTCCTCATGTAAGTATATTATTTCTCCATTGATTTTTTTCCTCATTGAGTTATCTCCATTGATTTTGAAAGATAGTTTTGCAGGCTATATTGCAGGCTCTTTTATTTTCTGACTTGAAGCACTTCACTCCAACCCCTTCTTAATTAAAGGAGAATTCTACTGTGATTCTGATGGGCTTTCCTTCATAGGTGTTTCTTTTTCTATAACAGCTTTTAGTATTTTGTTCTTGTGCTGAGTTTTTCAAATCTTGACTATTATATGCCTCATTGTATGTTTCTTTTGGTCATGGCCAATTGGAGTTCTAAATGCCTCCCTTATTTCATGGTAAATTATTTTTCAGTGTTTGGGAAGTTTTCAGCCATTACTTTTGTGAAAATGTTTTTATGGTGTTTGCATTGTTACCTGTTTACACATTGACTCCATAATCAATCTTATGTTGCTCATCTTTGCATCATCTTGGAGCTGTTGGATATTTTTCATGATCCCTTGCCATTTTAAAGATATATTTATTTTTGTGGTCACTAACCACAATCCTGTCTTCTAGATCTGATATTCTGTCCTCACCATCATTCAGATGATTGTGTATACCTTCAATGGAGTGTTAAATCTTCTGGATACCTGTTTGAATCTGTTTCATGGATTGTATTTGTTTTTGATGTTGGGCCTTCATGATTTCCATAATTTTTCTAAGTTTTACTATACTTATCTGTATTTACTCTATATTCACTAAGCAAGTAAATTATTTTTCATTGAGTATATTGGTACTTTAAAGTATACAGTACAATTACATTTATCATTGGGATCTTGTATCTTTACATGACAGATCTTGGTTCTCATTTTCCCCCCATACCTATACCCTCCCTTCACCCCCTCACCTATTTACAAAGATTTTGCTTCCATTTTTCCTTTTCTCACATTTTTTCTTCTCCCTTATTTCTTTTTCCCTACCCATCCCACTTCCCCTACATCTTTAGCCCTTTTTTTTCTATTTCACATAGTCAGTTATGCAATTTGGATCTTATTTACACTTTTAGTTTTTCACACCAGAGAAACTATTCAGTACGTACACATGTCTGTCTCATTTATTTCATTTAAGAGTATGGCCTCAATGTGCATCCATTTTCCTATGAATGACTCTAGTTTCTCATTCTTTTAAAATGGAGTAGTACTCCATTTTATAGAAACACCACATCTTCTTTATCCACTCTCCAACTGGTGGGCAATTGAGCTCTTTCCAAGTTTTAACTATTACAAACTGTGCCGCTATAAACATGGGTGCACATACATCACTGTGATATATTTCTTTTAGTTTTTTTGGAAAGATACCCAACAGAGGGATGCTTGGGTCAAATGGAACCTCCAGTCCAAGCTCTTTGAGGTATCTCCATATTGATTTCCACAGTGGTTGCACCAGGCTGCACTCCCACCAACAATGGAGGATTCCTTTCTCTGCACAACCCCACCAACATTTGTTATTGTGTGATGTCTTGATAGCATCCATTCTTAGTGGGGTGAGGTGGAATCTCAGTGTTGTTTTCATCTGCATCTCTCGAATGACCAGTGAGATGGAACATATTTTCATATATTTACTTGCTGCTTTTACTTCCTTGTCTGAGAAATGTCTGTTCATTTCAGATGCCTATTTTGGAATTGGGTCTTTATATTTTGGAGGGATGATTGTTTTGAGTTCTTTATATATTCTAGATAATAGTCTTTTGTCTGAGGAGCAGCTCATAAAATTTTTTTCCCACATTGTAGGTTGTCTCTTAGTCTTGTTGATGGTTTCTTTCACAGTGCATAAGCTTTTTAATAAGATGAGATCCCAGTTGTTGATTCTTTCTTCTAGTTCCCATGCTACTGAGGATTTGTTCATAAAGTCTTTTCCTATGACAATGTCTTCCACAGTTCTGCCTAATTTATCTTCCTGCAAGTTTCATGTTTCTATTTTAATATTTAGATCTTTATTCAGCTTTGATTTTAATTTAGTGCATGGTGAAAGATAAGGGTCTAGTTTTAATCTTTGGCAGGTTGAAATCCAGTTTTTCCAACACCATTTATT